GAAAGCCAAAAAAACAAAGTAAGTAAAAACAACAACAAATCTTTTTACTTCAACTACCCTTCCCCAGACTAAACAAGTACAATCATCTTTATGAGATATAGATAGTAACACAGCTCTTTATTCCCAAAGAAAGTAGCCAGGATAAATTGTCAAAAACAAGTTAAATCCCATTAAATTTTCACAGAGGGTTATATTTATGCCAAAATACTGGTCTCAATTTTTTTTCTAACTACATAAACAGAAACATCTGACTGAAAATATTTTTTACACATTTAAAAATAGCCTGTGCTTATGAAATTACCTTTCTGGATTCCTACTTACATTTTTCATAAAATGCTTCATAGATTTTATCAATTCATTAATACCCTCCTACTTCTCTGAATAATTTCCCTCTCCATTTATGAAACCTACAACATTGATACCCTGCTTTATCTACAGTGTCATTCATATATCAGTAATAATGACATTAATTAAACTGTGCTGCTTGTTTGCTTAGCAATTTTTTTCCCCTGTGGAGAAAAGGAAACCATATGATGCTAGGATGATTTGTAATAGATCTTCCATGACTACCAAGACCTGAAATCAGAGGCTGCCCTCCCACAGCACTGGAGACCTTTTAGCCTTCAATAAAGTAGAAGAAAATAAAATATATTAAAGACATCAACCTAACAGACCCATTCCCCAAAGGACAGACGCTCTTCAGGTGGAGAAAGAAGCCAGCCAGCCAGCTTCAAACAAAACATAAATGTAACACTCCCAATAAAAGGTACGGCATGAACATCCCACTATGGTAAGGAAACTGTTGTTTATTTAAGGAAAAATACACGACCTGTGACATGAGTGAAAGCACCATGTACACATGTATTATAGTTTAAAATTAAGAATGATATTGGAGTTTTAATTGCACAAAATGCTCACCTAAAAATGATATATCAATAAAAATAAGCAATTGCAACGGAGTGCTGCCTGTATAGTACCATACTGCCCCCTCATGTGTAAATGGAATTTTGAAACCACTTGGATTACTGTGGACAAATATTTGCTATTGAACATCTAATATATTGCTCCAACTGGTAACCTACTAACACCATATTTCCACACAAGCTGTCTTCCAATAGGGCACTCTTGCAAATAGCAAACTACTTACAGGCCTTAAAGTTCTTCTGCTGCCTAGACTACTGTCCACAGCTGGATTTACAGCTGTGTGTCACTGTTGAAGGTAAATAAAGCTGTGGAGTGGTAGGAACCCCAGGGCTGTTAGGTGGAGAAGAGCAGGAGAGCGACGAGAAGATGGGAAGCCTAATTCCGGTGAAGGGTAATAGCACTGGTGACCACCGTTTGGAACAGCTCCTGGACATACCTACACTTGATTTTCCAAATGTGGCAGATGTCTCTGGGATGCCACCAGAATAGGAAAGCAAACAATACACAGAGCCACGATATCCAAAGCACGGACAGGCCATGGAAAAGTGAGAACCCAGGAACTGGAACTGGACACCAAGCAGGCTTTCTGGATGGTCAGGCTGATGGAATAGCACAAGTCCCCGAAAGGCTTCGCCTCTTCCTCCTCTGCTTTGCGGGGGCGGAGGGGTGTCTGAGGGAGAGGTGTGGCAGCCCCAGCTGTGCAGCTAGAGTGCCCAGCCATGTGGGATGTGGGATGCGGCCCTGTGGTTCTAACACTCCCCGTAGACTCAGATTCTGAGTCCATCCTGGCTCCTCAGTCTAGATCCCAGGGTCGGGCCCAAACAGATGACTTCAGGCCCTGTTTAGTTTCCACCAGACTCTCTGAGATGGGGACAGGGCTTCACATTGTTTTCTTTTCTTTGGTTTACATTATATAGCTCCCAGGGCATTCCTTCATGTAGCTAAGGCAAAGAAACACTGAGTTGGACAGTCATTCCACAGTTGTCTCAAAACACTAGAAAAAATCTGTCAGAAAAACCAGCACTGCATATACACAATTCCTCAGGCTATCCATGTCCTTCCAGTTAAGCACATGGTGGTTCAAAGATTCTAAGGAACCACTGCTGCCTTGATAAACTCTGTGTGGCACAGGCATCACGAAGAGCTGAATTACCCACCAGACTGGGGCAGGTACTGAGTCACAGGTGACTGCTTACAGACAGTACTGCTCTGGCTTTGAAGTCTCACAAGCTACAGAAGCAGAGATATATTCCTTAACGTAGTAGTGTCCTTCAGTTTTTCACGTGAATAATGAGGGCCACCATATCTACAGCTCAAGTTATGACAAAGCTTGAATGAGATGGTGCTTCGAAACTATTCAGTTCAGCACTTAGAACATGGCAACCAGAATAAATCTATGTATTTGTGATATAATCACTTACAGTATGTAATGATAAAAAGTAAGTCAGATCCTTATTATTCTGCTTACGCACCCTTTTCAGAGGACCACTCATTTCTTAAGGTCTTGAATATTCCCCCAATTCAGCCCTGAGAAAAGTTATTCCGAAGGTTTCTAGAACAGGACATCAACCAACGAGCTGAAGGAAAGGATCAAATGGAGCATTTTTCCAAAATGCTCAAGCCAGGGCCTGGGGATATAGCTCAGTGGTGTAAGCACCTGCCTCGCAAGCACAAGGTCGTGAGTTCAATTCCCAGTACCAAAAAAAAAAACAACAACAACAAAAAAAAAAAAACAAAAACACTAAAAATGCTCAAGTCATCTAGAACCAAATTACTGTTTTGTGTCTTTATTTCTGTACTTTAGTACTAAAATTTTAGATTTAAATTACTTCCTATCACATTTAACATATGTAACATTTTTTAAAAATGCCTGTTGGGTGCTGGGCTTTCTTGGAAGCACTAATACAAGTTTTGATCAAAAATACAGAGAGTTTACATTTTTAAAAAATTATTACAATTAAAGACACATCATCATCAATCCCTCTCAAAAAACTCCCTCTGGCTTTAGGCACCATCTCCCCACCGTTCGCACCACTTTCTGAAGCAGTTCTGGAAGTCTTTTTTTTTTGAGAGTCTTTAATTTTGCTGCGGTGGCTGCCTTAATGCCCTGAGGGGATTCAAAACATTCACACTTTATGGCTGTTCTGATGTGTGAGAAGAGCCACAGGTCACGTGGTGCCAGGCCTGGCGAACAAGTGGGGAGGACGCGCGTTTCACAACCTTGCCTCTCTTTCAGCTAGCACTCTGCAGCTGCACTCGTTGTGCTTTTTCTCAGACCTCCTGCAGACCCTCACAGAAGAGCACTTCCAGAACCGCTTCAGAAAGGGGCACGAACAGTGGGACGACGGTGTCTGAAGCAAAGGGAGCGAGCGATTTTGAGAAGGACTAACAGTCAAGTATATTTACTGTCATTTTTAAAAATTTAAACTACAGTTTTTGATCAACCCTTGTATAGTTTCAACATCTGAGCTCAAGTACTGTTCTCCACATACTAGAAAAGCTCAAAACTTAAAACATCCAGCCCAAGGTCCCAGAGTTTAAAAATGGTAACACTGGCATTTGAACTCTGACTCCAAAGTATCTGCTGCCAAGCTCTACAAATACTGTCGTTTATGAAACAAAGTATAACTCCTAGGGAAAAATCAACACCAAATATTCTTTTGAATCTATTTAGGAAAAGGCAGCACAGAGTAATACCAACACAGGACCACTACCCCCACCTGGATGTTTGAAGAATACCCTGCCTTTCACGTGCATTTAACTTGTCTTTCAACACACCATCATCAACTGTAAAGTCTCCTTTTTAAGCTACAAAGCTATCTGTGGGCTTATGATTCTCTCCAAAATGCCAGGAATGATTTTAAAGGACATTCTTTCAAGATCTAGTAGAGGAGGAAATATTGAAACTATTTACTTTTAAATGCTGACCTGTTTTCTGGCAAGCTGATTCCAGAAATTAACGTTTATTTCGTTCTACATTGCCAAGATGTGTGCCGTTCCAAATACAACACTGATTTTCCAGTCTAGCACCATGGCAAGGACAGAAATTCCTCCTACTGCCCAGGTCTCTTTCCAAGTTTCTTTTGACTTACCTATCTTTCCTAGCATTCTGCTTGCTACTGCCTTTGTTCAAGCGTAGATGAGCATATTTTAAGTAATACTGAGAAGCAAGACATCAACTCTATTCTAAACTTTATTTTTTTTCAGGATAAAAATGTCTTCCCACACCTACATATTTACAACATAAGAAAAAGTCAAGCTGAATAAACCAATGCAAAAAAAACAAACCACGCGTAGGCTTGTCAGGTAGAGAAGCGCTTGCTTATTCAGGTCTCCTCAGTGCCAGCACAAACAGCAGTCTGGCACTGCAGCTCACAGTCACAGGTACCCGAGATACAACACAGTGGGTGTTTACGCTCATGGGACTCGGCCACGTGTATAACCTGTCTGCAGATCCTTCATGCCCTGCCACCAGAGGCCAAGCATGCATAGGACTACATCACTTCTGCCAAAAATACTCTGCAGGTAACAGGAAATAAAGATAGTTTCTGAAAATGTGTTCTGGTACCCAACTCAAACCTGTAATATTTAAGTGCACTGAATTATTAGTGTGGGTATAGCAAACTAAGGCACCTTTTTATAAGGATGTTTCTACAGAGGAGTTCACTGGTCTTTACTGTTACAGGAAGATCCTCAGTATGTTTTCATACTCCTCAGCTTCCA